CCTTGGGACAAGGTCAATTATGGAAGGGGGCAAAGCATAACAACAATGTGAGAAAGGAAGAGAAATAGAAGCAAACAGAATTAAAGGCAATTCAAATAGACGCATCATATCATTTCTTATTTTAAATTGTAAAAGTGCAAGATACCTTATGGAACAAAACACATTTTTCTACTTACTTTTACAGCTGGAGGGAGGAGAGAAGAGTTAGTAGGAAAATTGTCAGATTTCATTGCTTCTTCTCCTCTGATTATCTGAATTTCTCCCTCCTCTTCTCTGTTTACATTTCATTGTTTCTATCTAATTTCAGTTCAATTAATGAAGTTTCAGCTTGGGTTATTGATTCCCAGCTGATTATATTTAATTGTGTGTTGATTTAAGTGGGATTTGGTTGGTTTTGATTGAGATTTAGCTCAACCATTACAATGTTTAACAACATTCAAGCAACCACATTATGTTGCTTTTAACAGCTTTCTAGACAGGGGCGGAGCCACCTTAAGGCCAGTGCAGGAAAGTGCCTGCACTGAAGTTTTCTCAAGCAAAAAATTTCAGCAACCTGTTTGCCAATGTACATATGTGGAGAGAATTAAAGAGGGAAACAGAGAGTTAGAGAAATTTACATTAAGACCCATAAACTTTGTACTATAGCTAAAGAGAGCATAAAATTATGTAAAAGGTTCACATAAAGTTTATTTAATTATTTTTTTTAGACTGAGGCTAGAAATTGGTGTGAATCTTGGTTAATTTAATAGCGTGAATGTGAAAACTCGATATATTTGTTTCTAATTTTATTTTATAGGTAGAATGTGCATTGACATATTGCTTTGCTTGTGTATTAAATAAATTTTTTGGACTTGTTTCATTTTGTTAATTGATTTATTGAGTTTTGAGTTTATATATTAGGTAAAAAAATTTGAATGCATATTGTATCTTTAATTTAAGAGCTCAAATTTAAAATTCGTCTCAGCCCCGAAAAATCAAAATTTGACTGATTAATTTGTGCCCGCATTGGACAATATTCTTGGCTCCGACCCTGATTCTAGAAATGTCATAATCCCCTGCTTTAACATCTAACTTTACCAGGTGATGCCATCCAAAGGGAAAGATAAAATTGCAAATTCAGTTGGATCGGTTTGGACATCCAGTATTTTCAGAATTCGGCCAAAATATTAAAAAATAAAAGAATGAATGAAAGAAAATCAAAAGCAACAACCACCAGCACAAACCTGATTAACAAGCACGACACGATGATCATGAAGCTGTTGAATAATCATGTCACAGACTGTTGTCTTCCCGGATGCCGTACCGCCCGAAACACCTACACCGCCAACAAACATACAAAAAAATCACCGAGAAAGAACAACTCTCAGAATTTCGAATATCGAATTACGAGAAAAATTAGACTAAGCTGGTGGCCATCAACCTAAAAACACGAAGTACCGGTGAGAATGTCTTGAGAATCAAATTACCTATAACGAAGGGCTGCTTGATGACAGAGGAATCGGCAAGGGGAGTGGAACAAGCGGGAGTAGTAGGAATGGAGGAAGGACGAGAAGAAGATGAGCTCGCCGCGGCGGACATAAGGCTGTCGAGGCGGAGACCGGAGAAGTGTGGGCCCGACGCCGCCTCCATCACGTAATCGATTTCCTTCGTCTCCGCCGGCATTGTCACCGTCTCTGCACAGATTTGAGTTAAACGGAATTGTTTAGCTGTGGGTTAGGCATTTACAATTTTTTCTTCTCATAGGAGTCCTTTGACTGTTGGCGTCCTTTACAGGCTGAGAATATTTCACAAATGAAAAACGAAAAGAGAGAAAAAGGATGGTGCTTGCCTACTGATTCTCCTAATTATATTTGGAATCTTCAATTTTACTAATAAATTAAATACTGCTGATTTCAGAATGACTAATCCAGCGTATTCTTTTGTTTATTTCTTATTTTAATCGATATGCTTGCCTTTTTTTTTTTCTTTTTTTTTATGAGCAAGATACCTACCATGTAAAAAATTGTTGGATGACCTTTCTTTTTTGAACGACGGTGACGTTAATTTATATATTTTATCACTAGTAACTATTCGTACTCCATAATGGACATGAAAGTCACCCAATTGCTACCTTTCGTACAGTGAGTTATTTATATAAGGGTTGTGCTATTTGTACATTATGGCATCCATAATGGATGACATAATGTACAAGTGGCAGTACGTTATTGGAGAGTGTGCTGGCCCACCGACACACCCTCCAATAGGATAATTCCACTTATACATTATGGCATCTATTATGGATGACATAATGTACAAGTAGAATTATCCTTTATATAAATACCCAAGCCTTGTTTCTCATGTGTGATATCTTCTTTATTTTAATGAATTATACCAACCAAACTAGAATTCTAAAAATACATTATTGTAGCAAACCAATACACATTTTGTTTTAAATTATGGGAATGTTTTGTTCCCATTTGACAACAAGTGACCTTAAATTAAAACTCTGATGAAGAATAATCTTTAGTGCAAGTTCTTGAAAAATGTTACAATTTGATCGTAAACTATATCCTTGGTCGTTACCCCCATAATGAAGTCTGCATGAGCAAAATCCTTGATATACTGTACATGAAGCTTGTCTATGTCATGCAGCTTAAGACTATCAAGTAAAGTCGCTACATCTTTGGCATCAGAAAGAGCATCTTGGCCTCCATAACTCAAAAACAGGGGAAGATTGTGAGGAATTTTTCTCAAATCGTAAACCGGCGGCTTCGCTTCTCCATAATGTTCCAAGTTGAAATTGGCATTTCCGTAATCGTACTTTGACAAAATTCCATCCCGAACAGCTGCATTATGTACCAAACATGACCTTAGCATCGACCAAATTTGTGGCTAAATGTAGTTAGGTTAACTTACTTTGAGCCAAATGAACTAGGTTCTTAGTTGCAGTTGATTGAGGTTCATTCTTCAAGAAAATCTCGACAGTGGACGCGTTTAGACAACAATTCTTTCCTGTAGAGAAAATCTTAAGCCTATAAATATATAGAAAAGCAAAAATTGCAGATTCTGTATTGATAAATAAACACCTGTAAGTGCAGTTAGCATGTTATAACAATCCAACCCCGGAAAGGCGCACAAGGATTTGAGGAAGTTGTTTACTTCCTTCCTGTAAAATCAGATAATGCTGCTGTAAGTGCACGTAAAATTTGGATATATTTAGTTATTAATCCAAGATTTGTTACCCTTTGGGATTGAATTCTGCAAGACCAAAAACTGTGGTGATCTGTTGAAAATGGCAAATATTAATATCGGAAGAATTCGCAAAATGCAGTTTGATTAGAGCTCAAGAATGTGGGCTTACTTCGCCAACGAATGCCCTAGCTGCTACAACTCCAAGTGCAGTGGTCATATGGCTTAAGTAGGCTATTGGGCTTAACAATGCAGCAGATCTAATCTTGTCTACTTTTCCTTCTGCAAATGATGCCAGTGCCATCAAAGTTCCCTGTCCAGAATAGATATACTTATTATTCACCTGCTCTTAGTGTGGAAGGCTACAGGAAACGGAAAATTCTTACCAGGGAATGGCCTACATAGTGCATTTTCTGACCAGTTTGCCTGAACACAAACTCAGTAACACTTGGAAAATCATATAGCACCAGATCATCCCATGACCAATTCCAGTATTTCTGTCATTTAAAGATTAACAAATAAATGCCAGTTTTTACATTGAGATGAAAATGAGCGCGCTAAAACAAGTGTTAGTTACTTAGCATGGATATACCGGGTTGCTAGGATCAAGATGCAAATGTTTCCGGCTGAATCTCGTTCCTCTGGTATTGGAAATCCATACATCAAAACCATTATCTGCCAATATCATCGCCAGAGACTGCTCAGGTGAATTTAGTAGCCACGTCATTCCGTCCTGCAATACCCAATATTAACCACAAATAAAAAGTGTTTTAATATTCGATAATTGTCCAACCTCTCATGTATATGCGTACATATATAAGCATGAAACATGCATCTTGGAGCTTTTAAAAACCGTCTGTTTTCACATTAGAGAAAAATGCCAGTTAGCCAACCCAAAACCCGGTCTGTAACTCTGTCATTGGACTAAATTCTATGGCATTATGCGCACGCAATACTCTGCACAAACCAAGGACGTAAACGCGGCAATATGCATGCGTCCACAGAAATGATTTCCGGGCCTCGAGTCCATATCCATTCCATACGCCTTGAAAAACGCATCATATCTGACACCCTTGGAAATTGAGTGCCAAGTTCTTTTCTTCAAATAGAAATATTTACAATTTATCCGCGCCAATTCTTGAACATTACTATGTGAGAACATGTCCTCATCTCCTGTTACGCTGCAATTCTATTGGATTTACATTTGAAGTAATAATGTTCCTCTTTTTTGAGAAAAGAAAAATGGGCTCACACGGTTTGTTAATCCCAATCCATTACCATTAAACATTTTGCATATGTTTGACAAAAATTTCATGAGATTATGATCGATGAGTCCCACAGAACGTGTGATTATAAATGAATAAAAATTGGAGTTTAATGAAATGCATGATTAAAGGGGGTATTAAGACAAAGGGGCAACTTATTAATCAACAATCTATCTTATACGCAAATTTAAGGAAAAAAATTATAGTTTAGCGCAGATAGCATGGCAAATTATACAACAGAAGCTCTCTTTTGGCAAATCAATACAGGAAACATATAGGCCAACTTTTGTTATGGGGTTAAAAAGTCATGAGAATTCACTTTTTGCCTAAAAAGTGAAGCAAGCAATTAATAATTCTGTCGCCACTAAAATATGATTTTGGGACACTTTAATCAATGACGCAAATCCGCGGACTCTGAATTAATCTTTCTTTGGTGTAAATTTCACACAAAATTGGCAACCGGTACGCATATGCGTATATCTCTATCTATCTGCGACAAAGAAATGCTTACCACAAGAACTCCGTGTTGCAGCAAAACTGGTGGCTTGTTTGGCCCGCCACCACCTGTGCGGCCTTCCGGGATCCTTTGCAAGCTTAATATATATCCATCATCAGTTTTCACCTGAAACATCAAACATCCATTTACTCAAATAAGTAATACATATTAATTGATCCACTTGGCAGCTCTTACATCAAATTCTTGGCACTTGTAACCATGTATGGCAACTGCGGTCGCACATAAACCTAGCGGTGGCGCGTTAAACTCATTAATCTGACTGCGACTGAAGCCAAATGCTTGATAAGGAAGGACTAGTGCAAGCAAACAGAAGCTGGAGACAGCCAAATTCAAGAAACTATTTGGATCCATTTCTCTTGGCTTGTTAATGCTCTGAAATTGTTCGAGTGGTGGGTATTTATACAGAGTGGGAAAACTGAAAAGTGAGTGTGAACTAGAACAAGAAAGTGAGGGAACAAATGTGGACGCTTAAAGGAAAAGACTATTGTCCAGCTTGGAATATCTCTCCATACTTTTAACTGCAAAGTTTTGTTACTTTTTGTACATGTACAGATATGCTTAACTGATTGGAATTGGAATTCCGTCACATAGACTCTACAAACAACTGACCTTAACTAAATCCAAAAGACGTCCAAAGGATAAGCATATAGGTTACGTATAGGATTGCAGTTAGAAGTGAAGGGGCATCACAATTGGCAATATTCGCAAGTTGAACCAAAGTTTTGAGTCAAAATTTATACATGCATTAGTCAAAATCCCGATACCATTCAATAAAATATAATTTTAATAAGGATTGCATATTTATCTTTTAATCATGTTATTTTTAAATTGCGATTTCTAAATTGTACTAAGTAATCAAATAGAATGATTTGATAAGTTTTAGAGAAAATTCAAGTTGATAAAGGAGAACGCGTATTCACTACATTTTCCATTTTAACCTAAACTAGTATGGTTGACAATAGTTGAATGAATTTAATTATTAATATTCCTAATATAGTTAGTAATCTCTTTCGTGAAATTAAACCAATTTTGACATACAACTCTACAATATTGCTATAAAAGATGTGAATATGTAAAAACGAGTGAAAATCTAGAACTCCAGGTGAATATAATTGAGTTACAAAAACACATCTTTGAACGAAAACATATGACCCAGATTTCAATACAAGAGATTAACACATGACCTCTTGAATCTCTTCAATTGGCCTTGAATGATAATCTTGAGGCATGTTGATGAAGATAAGGTCAAGAATTAGAAGAAAATACATGTTTCAAGGTGAAGATTTATAATGTTGAAATTAATGCCAAAGGAATGACATTTTATTAAGACAATTTTGCACTCTATGCAATTTTAATGTATATGAAACACACTTTGATACTCAAACTAGTGCAGTGTCTAGTACTTATCAAAATATTCCACTAACTCTCTCTCTCTCTCTCTCTCTCTCTCTCTAACCACTCACTATCTCTTACAAAGCACTCTTGCTACTTCTCTTTCTCTGCTTATCACACACTTCACAAAGTCAACACACACATATATAAGCGTGAATGGCGGTGGAATTGTATCTAGATAATTCTTTAGTTGACGGTGAGTGAAAAGTTTTAAGATAATTTCAGCAGCTTCTAGTATGGCAATGGTGATAGGATAAAATTAATTTCTTCTCTAATGTCGACAGCTATGGAAAAATATGGAAAGTTGGTGATAATTCTTCAATTCTCTCCTTCAGTGCCAACTTTTCATTTCAACTCTTTCCCTTTTCGTCATGTCCAGCTTTGCTGGAAAATCTACCAATTTCAAATCGCTCGATCCTTTATTCAATGCACCCGCGACTTCAAATATATTTAGCTCTTTTGCACTCTCATCTTTTTCTATTTCTTGATTAGTATACTTGGTAATTGATTTCTTAAATTCACCCAATTTCCTTATTTGTGATTGTGGATTTGTATGTATCTTGATGTTGATTCCTTCGATCCTCCGTTAGTGTTTCTTGATTGACTTCATTTTGTTGATTACTCTTGATTGATTACCGTGATCACCTGTCTTCTACTTGGGTGTTGACCATAGCCCTGGTGAGTATATGGAGTAAGTATGATATGTGTTTCGGGTCCGAAACACAAGGTAAGATCTATGATTCCAATTTTATTAGTTACTTTAATTATTCAAGTATAAATTTTGTGTTTTGATTGCTTACAGGTTAATTGAGTATCAAGATGAAAATTTGTTAGGTTTCGATACCCAAAAATTCTAGCGATAATTAAAATAGATGTCGGATAATTTATGGACACTACAATACTTGGCTTGACCTGGAAACAACCTACACTTATGGATGATCCAAGTATTAGTTGGATTATTAGATTGTGGGTTTGGATTAATTGTTAGCCCATTTGTTTGGTATTATTTTTAGCCCACTTTGTCTGAGTCCATCTAAGGATGAGTATGGCCCAAGTTGGTGACCTAAACCAATCCTTTTAGAGAACAATACATAAATCCTACATCTAAAAATTACATTTCAAAAATAACAAATTACAAAAATCTTTTCAAAAATCAGGTGTTTAATAAATTTATTGAATATTAAAATATAATATAATATAATATATTTAATTATTTTCACTTATGCCACCTCACACACCCCATCCTATCACCCCACTACACCACCTTCCCTCCACCTCTCCATCGAAGACGGCCATCGGCCACTCTGGCAACTACTCCGACGATCACTCCGGTGGCCGCTCCGGTGACTTTCCATCGATCACTCCGGCGACTATTCTGACGATCACCCCGACGCCCGCTCTGGCTGCTATTCGACGATCCCTCCGGCAAACTTCTCTAATGATCACTCCAACGCATGCTCTGATCAACCTACCCACCCCATCCACCCACTCCCAACTTCCAAAAAATTTTCAGAAATTCAAGTCACAATCGGTCACAACGAGTCACAATTAACCGATTACAAGCAGACACAAATAGTCATAATCGGTCACAACCAGTCACAATAAGCACATATTTGGTCACAAATGGTCACCATGAACAATCTGCACACACCACAGCAAATGGATTAAAAAACCACCAACAAACTCCAACAATTCAAAAATCAAATCTATAGTGTAGATCGACAGAAAATAATTGAGTTTTGTTGTTCTGCACTAAATTTTTTACTACTGCCATCACCCACTTTCAACTTAAATTCACGACAATGATGACATTAATTAAATGTTGTGCTACAATCTACGAAGAGAAAGGCCAAAGCAGATGATGGTATGTCTCCGGCAACGATGGCAGATGAGCGGTGGTGGGTCTGTAGCAAACTCACCCGCCTGTGGCCAAATTGTCACGGTTGTGGTTGCGACAACTCGATCCTGACGACGCTGCTTCACGGTGGCTGCCGGTGGAAAATGAGAAGAGAATGAAGATGATGGATGGAAAGAGAGAGAGAAAGAGACAAGATACAGAGGAGGAGATGAGAGAGAGAGGGAGAGAGAATGAGTAGTGAGAGAAAATTTAATTATAGATTTTGAAATGGTGGTTGCCGGTGGAAAATGAGGAGAGAAGGAAGATGATGGATGGAAAGAGAGAGACAAGATACAGAGGAGGAGAGAGAGAGAGAGAGTAGTGAGAGAAAATTTAATTACAGATTTTGAAATGGTGCGTGCATGTGGGTTAGGTGAGGTGAATATGTAGATATTAGGTTTAGGCATTGTTTGAGGGTCCCACCATGAAACAAAAAGTCAATTTCTGCTGCCTAACTATTGGAATTTCTAAATGGCTGAAAGAATTTAAAACAAATAGGGGCTCAATTAAATTTTTATTAATTATAATTATTAAAACTTAATTACCACCTGATTTGTGAAATAAAAATTAATCCACCTGTTTTTTGAAAATGAATCTTTAAAAAGTAGGTTTTCAGGTAATTTTCTCATCCTTTTATATGTATCCACCTTCCCAGCCGTTTTTGTGTGTGTGTTACAATAAAGGAGAGAAAATTGAGAGAGAAACATCCTACTATTGGTGAGGTGATTTCTTGAGATTCATCCATTGGTCTCTTCCATTTCTTCCTCCCTTTGTGATGTTGTAATCACCACCACCACCGTGATCCTTTGCAGGTTAGTAGAGGTAATTATAGTGGGTGAAAGAGGCAACCAAAGTGTTTGGAAGTTTTAGATCGAGTTTGAGTTGGATGGTGTTGGTTTGATTGGTTTTTCCGAGCTCGGATCAAGATTTCTCAAAGATTTTAACAACCATAATGCTCCATGTTGGAATTGGCACTTCCATAATCATACTTTGACAGGATCCCATCACGGATGTCTGCATTTTATTGAAGTCTTGTCAATTGTAGAGCCTGATTGTGTTCATTATTACAGCGAATAAATGAACTTACTTTGAGACAGATGAACCAAGTTCTTAGTTGCAGTTGATTAAGGTTCATGCTTCAAGTAAGACAAATCATAGGATGAGTTTAGACAACATTTCTTCCCTGTAATTAAATTGTGGGAAGCCTATTAATATACGCAGAACTGAGATTTGGTCATCCTATTTGGATGAACATATACCTGTAAATGCAGATAGCAAGTCAAGACAGATCATTCCAGGAGTGGCGCATTGGGATTTGAGGAAGTTGTATACTGCTTCCCTTCAAAGATTAACCAATAAGATGAAAATAATTCACATATAAAATCATCAGTTAGTTCAAACTGGATACATTTAATAATCCGATCCAAGATTTTATTACCCTTGTGGATTGAATTCTGCAAGACTAACTGCTATTTCGATCTGAAGAATAAATCACAAATTAAATTCACTGATTAGAGCTCCAAAAAGCTAAAAAATATTGATCTTTATTCACAAATGAAGTACAAGGAAGGCTTCAGCTCCAATAATTCTAAGAAATAATCTTGTCTATTTCTTTTCCTTCTGCAAATGATGCCAATGCCGTCAAAGTTCCATGTCCAATTACTTATTCACATGTTCATAATGTCCCGGGTAGGATAAATTAATTAAACTGGGGATATAAATTCTTACAAGGGAACGGCCTACATAGTAGATTTTCAGGCCAATATGTTTGCAAACAAACTTGGTAACACTGCGTAAATCATAAAGCACCAGCTCATCCCATGAGCAGTCCCAGTGTTCCTGTCAAATTCACAAAAATAAAAGACATAACAAGAAAAAGAATGATGTGAAAATGGGCAGAAATAGATATATATACAGGGTTTTTCAGATCAAGGGTCACGTCTCCTGCTGTATTGAGTTCCACTGACATTGGAAATCCATGCATCAAAACCATTTATCAGTGGAAGTGTCTTCTCAGAAGAATTTAGGAGCCTGATAACTGTAGGAGATATTACACCGATAATGTGCATATTATATTCATCAAGAACATGCTGTTAATATGTTTGAAATCGAAATATCATTTGACTT